TTTTTTTTTTTGCTAAACATTCATCTCAATACACCTCTGATTATAATTTACTATGTAACATCTGGCTTGCAAACAAAAAAAAAAAAAATTACCTCTTTTTAGCAGCACTTTATATTTGTTTAACAGACCAATTTCTAGTTTTGATATTAGTACTGCAAAAAAAAATCTTTTTCACCAAATTGTTTTCACAGAATTTCTAAAACATCACAAAAATTGCTCATTACTATGAGCACTCAGAATTTTTGCACTTTAATAGAACAGCTTATAAAAGCTACAATTTTCTTTTTTTTGGGCTATTTAAAGTTGTCTTTATTCAGAATTTTAAAATAAATTTTTAAAAAACAAAAGACTTAAAAAATTAGCCTAAAAATACATCAATTAATCTAATGGTATTGCAGAAAACAAAATTTGATTTAATATTAAAGTTTAGAAAATTGTAACTGTTTATTTTAAAAAAAACACCACTCACTGATTGCAGTTTTATTTAACAGTAATTCTGAAATTAGTTGCTTTTCCTATAATCATCAACAGGAAAAACGTTGAGGTTACTTAATAATAGAATTTAATATAATAAACTTAATTTTAGATTATTAAATATTGTAATCTGTTAAAAAAAAAAAACATTTGAATTGCAACTCAATGTTTACTGTTTTACACTGACAAAATTGAAAATAAACATGAACAAAAACAAGGTTAGGTTATAAATGCTCATTAAAAGTTAGAAAAGCTAAAGTTTTTTCCTCATCTTTAGTTAAAAAAAAATTAAGTTGATTTGAAAAGAAACTTTTATCAACGAAACACAGCAAAAAGCAAATTAACAGCGAAGTGGTTAGCAATGAGGTAATGATTGAAAATGTTACTTTTGACGGCATAATTTTACTCTAATTTTAGACTTTTTAGACAAAAGAAGCATTTCTGAAACAAATTGAATAGTTGCTGAAATAAATATCTTTAATTTTTTTTGGTATTTTTCTGCTCGTCAAAAAATTTATGTTGAACATCTAATAAAAAAAACTTTTTTAATAAAGAAATTCATTGACTGTTTCCTTCACCAAAAATTGGTTGAACTTACTGTTTTTTTACTGAACGTTCGCTTGGTTTCTGATATAAAAACGAGAATGCAACTGAATTTTTTTTTTTTTCAAAAGAATTGTTAGATCAACAAAGTTTGAGATGTTTTAATTTTTTCAAGCACTAACACTTTAGAAGAATAAATTTAACAAAAAAAAAAAGCTTATTATTTTAAAAAGTGACATCTGTTTACGTATACAACTCTCTATTCAACATTTCTTAGTTTTACAACTGTTTATCAGCTAATAAACCAAAACTATAGTGTTAAGAGGAGTATTTAATTTGTCACATAGGTATTATAAATTTTTATTGCAGCTTTTGAATGTACAATTAGCTTCCGTTTTTTTTTTGCATGATTAGTGTGTGAAAACAAAAAAAAAGTCATGTTTTTTCAAGAAAGAAAAGTTTTAAGCGTCAAATACAGTGGCAAAATTGTAAGACAATTTCACAAACTTTTTTTGTTTGCAGTTTTTCATTGTACCCTTCTAAAAGAAAGAAAAATTTGGAATAACAGAAGAGAAAAAAAAAAATCTAAAATGAAAAATTTTCAACCTTTTTTTTTGGAGGATAAATTATAACAAACAAAATTGAGAAGAACAAAAAAAAAAAAAAAAATGAAAAAGTTATATATGTTAAAGAAATGTATAAAATTTTTTTTTTT